GCACTGGCCTCTGAGAGCCCACATCGGCCTCTGGGGTCCCATACGGGCCTTTGAGGCCGCTATGGCCATGGGCCCCTGTAAGCTAGCACCGCCCCCCCCCCTCCGAGGGTTGGCAAAGTTGCCAAGTTGCCCCCACCCCCAAACGCCAAGTCTGCTACCGCCCCTGCATTCAGATGCATCCATTGTAAAAAATAACTTGTACTGCAGTGATTGGGGGCTGGGGCACTGGCTGCTAGCAAGTTTTTTTTTCCGGGAAACCGAAGTGGTAGTTCCTACCGGACGTCTGGCCGGACCTTTATTTTTGCATTTGCTTCTGGGTGGGCAAATCGACGCCACTGGGTGGGCAATTGTGGTGACTGGGTAGGCATTTGCCCACCCAGTGGGTATGTTAGAGGAGGCCCTGTCGGTGCCCTAATGCGCGATCGTGCTTGTGTCGGTTTCGGTGTCATTGATGTCAGTGTCTGTGTTCGTGCATCAGTGTCTCTGTGTCTGTACTCAAGCCTGTGTCGTGTCGTTTGCCATTGTCAATACGGGTTCGACATCGCTCAAGCGCACATTAGCTGCCGGGCGCTCTCGGAGATGTATCGTCTTCATTGACTCCAAGATTGAGGTCCGCTCGGGGAGGGGTTTTACGTTCCAGTGTCACACGGGCGGCTAAATCACTCGTTCTCGGGGATTAGTGTGGTTCGGTTGGGTTTAGCAGTGGGCAGTGGCGTGGCGGTAGAGGTTGAAACGCTGCTTTAGTATGAAACACAGCTCTAAGATGAAGGGGGTACGATCGTCCGGCAATGCATCGCGCGGCAGAAGAGAGTATGACATGCTCACTGCCCAGTGCCCAACAGTCAAACGCAGTCCCCGTGGATGATGCGTTCGTTCGGGAGACGGCTGACGATTAATGTGAGACTGGTCTACTTTGACTGGTGACTGGTGAGTGGTGACGGCTGTGGTGACTGCCAGCTACCGCTACAATGGTGAACTCTGGTGCCTGGCGACAGGCTTCTGACGACTGTTCACCTCGCATAGATGTCCACCCCGGGTGGAGCAGATCCCGACCCCGTGGGACGCTGGCCGGTCTGCAGGGGGCAGGATCTCGTTAAGAAGACGCTGATGATCAGTGCCGCTCACAGGTCGTGAGTTCCGGGGATTTAGGGCGTGATCAATGTCTCTGCTGCAGCGATTCCCCGCTGTCAGGGAACGAATCGAGACCGTTGGTCTTGGTCCGGCTTGGCTGCAGTCAGGAGGGCTGTCAACGCCATGTGCCGTTAGCCTCACGACGTTTGGAGATATTCAGCAAGCTAAGTATGCGCGATTGGTTACTGCATAGTATGCTATACTAATGTTTAAAGGCATCTAGCCGAGCGTCACGCACAAGCAAACATTGAAATGGGCAATGAATCCGTTAAGCTTATGGTAGGTAATGATTGATTGCAAGATTCCTGTTCTAAATAGCAGCTGCTTCCTTGGCCTGTCTGAAACATATTCAACCTGTCTGAATTCGGTCGGTCTCTGTCTCTGCTCTGCCGGTCTCTGTCTCTGCTCTATGGCACAGGCTGGCTCTCTGCCTCGCTGCGGCCCGGTCCGCTGGGTGGTCGCTGCCCCGCCGCCACCGCCGCTCTCCGATGTCTGTTTCCGGCAGTGGTGATGGTATCAGTAGCACATTTGTGATTGATGCACTAGATGCAGGGGACCGCCGCCGCGCCGGTGTCCCTGCCGGCAAATTCCACCGGCACGCGGTCTTTGTTAAAACGCAGCCATAATTGACGGCCTGCATTAGGAATTCTCGGCGACACAGTATGGAATTTTGCAGCGTTTTAATTGTCTTTGTGGTGGCGGTTGCTTGCCGTTAGCGACAGACATACATGTGTCGTACAGACGCCGGTTGTGACACTCGGCAAAACAGCCGTGTGGTGAAAATGCTGACAAGTCATCACTGACCACACCATCGCCTCACTCGGCTAGGACGCAGCGGCTGGTGCGACTGTATCCTCACCGTTATAACGTTCCAGGAAGGGTGTCCGATGTGTCCCGTAGTTTCGCACGGGTCGGTAGCGTGCCAGGCGACTGACACGGACCGGAATGGTACCGGCTCGTCATGTTAGTGGTCAGTCTGGGCTGCACATTGGAGGCAGTCTCCTCAGAACGACACGTGTTTCGCCGCCTGGCTACCACGCGTCACCGACATTTTTTGTTATCGGAGACGTTCGGTTAGGGGTGGCGAATACCGCTTTTTCATATCACAACTTTGGATGAAATCGCACGTTTGGATAGCGGCTTGGCGATGGCGCTCATTGAACATCTCTAGGCATCGCTAGGTCTCGCGGATAGGGCAAGTGCACGAGCTTCAGAATAAGTTACTTACAATGACATGCAATGGGTATTTTACACGCTGCATGCGGTTTCGGCTCCCGTGAATCGCGTGTACTGTTAGGCAGTCCGCAGTAGACTGTTTTGCTCGGAAGGATGACGTAAAAGTTCTGAGTTTAAAGATGTCGGCTAATATAAATTTGATTAGAATTTTAGTCGATTTTGAGTCAATTTATTTCACTAAGGCATTATAATCCACTCATTTAATGAATTCCTCAAGTTTGCATAATGCTGGTGCTAAAACAAAAGCTTCACAGCCATTACTCACACACCCCATACAGAGCCTTTGATAAAGAAGTTATTTCTGCTACCCAAATTGATCCCAGGAGAAATGAGCGCACAATCACAGGGGGTAATAAATGGTGCCGCTGTGAAAAAGCGGTGATGTATTAGGTGGTGGCAGTTATGCTCTAAAAGGGATATTTCGGGTCTCTTCAAGACAACATAAGAGTCTTGGGAAAAGCAACAGCAAAGCAAAAATGTCCAATATCCAATGCCGTCGAGCACGCGAAGTTATATAAATACATTATTGACCGGGAGATGAGAGTAGAAATGGGACCTAGACAGAAAAAAAAACACTGTCAATGTAAGGGAAAATTAAATCGTAATCTATCGTGACATAGGTACTTCCGATGAGTTTGAGGTGACTGTTGCTCTGGAAAAAGTGAAGCAAGACACCTTTTCCTAAAACAGCGAAGAGCTAGAACTTAGCTTTCCAGAGAGCTGGTTGGTCATTTATCATCTACTGGAACGAGGAGAGCTTAAGTCCACAGACTGTGTGTCGTTGCCTGCATTACAACGTGCTAGCTCACTCCGTTACCAAGCTTCATGTGAACTCCTTGGAAACAATGACTAGCACATGACCAAGTATTTCACCTATGGCGATTTTCGCAGCCATAGACATCGATGGCATTTCCCGTTCTCATTTCAGAGAGATAACTCACTGCAGTATCCTATGACACACTCTCTCCATCATCGTTGAGCGTATGAGTCCATAACTCCCATGACACCTGTTTAAAATCTCACATCGCTGGCATCGCAGTCGTGTTCTGGTGCGCATCTGATACGAACGCCTCCCCAGAGGCCGGCCGTGGGATCGTGACACTCTCAAACCGCAGGCAATGTCGCCTGAAACCGGATATGGTGGCGGTGACACGACTAATTACTGTTTAATTCCTCAAAGCCGCCCCCAGATTCCCATAAAAGCCGGCAGGCTGGTTGTGTTCAGCCGGGAGGACAACTTCATCTACCCGCACTTGGAGCCAGTTGCTGCAACTGTTTTTGCTCGCAGTCTTGATGCTTCAGTTGACCGTTGATGATGTGCTCTTTTTAGGCGCTTTTCTTTCCGATATGAAGCTGTTTTAGTGCACCTCTCCAGGCTCTATGTGCTTCCACGTTCTTTATGATACCTTTTACAGTCTGTTTATCCAGATCTTCATCGTACCTAAGCCAGGCCATGATGCCGAACATGCTTTGCTTTTGTACCTAGCTGAGTAGTTTTTTAGTCCATATTTGTCGAAATGTCAAATGTCTATTTAAGTAAAATAATCACCGGGATTTCCATAAGCATTCCCCATATTGATATGAATGGTTTCGCCTGGAGCGCAGTCTAAATCGATGTAACGGACTACTCTAAAAGCTGATCGAAAGTGAATCGAATGCCATCATTAGAACCTAATGATCTTGTTCAGGAATTCCCGGTAGGTAGGTATTTGAGCATTCATCAGCCTCACAATGTGTCCGGTGAATCCAGCTGCTCAATGTCGCGCTCATCCCTACTCGACACAAGCTTGTCCTCGTTGAACCTGACATGACTTCACCCTGCTTTCGCTGCCAAAGCCGAGGCTGAACTCATTCCATCATCCGATTTTCCATTATCAGAGTGAGAACCAGCCCATCCTCAACCTTGATCATGCATAATTCCCCGTTAGGGTCCGATGCTTTAACCACCCGGGAAACCGATGAGGGCTACCCCAATAGAGTTAATTTTCCGGGTTGTCCATTGGGCTGTTAACTGGTTCGTTCCAATGGGACGACCCGTTAGTCCAGAAACATATAGCAGTTAAGTTCAGTTGTACTTACAACAGTTCTACGTTGACCCTACATATTTGAACGCAAATATGCACTTTGACGTCTGTTTTCTGGAAGCTCTGGACTGCCAAGGACCAACCTGATAAGACTCACATCTGGCTGTGTTTCACCTGTACGTACATACGTGAGCGCATCATTCCCGTTACATTCAGAGAGCTAGAGGCGCTTACGCTCATCACGCTCTCGGAACGGGTTAATAAGACAATATTTCGCCATTCTCCCTCTCAGAATCGTGCTCAAGAGCTTCGACATCGACGCCTGCCGGGCCAAGGTTTCGAGTTTAGCTCTTTTGCATTACATTCCGATGAAATGCCACGTCTGAATTCCGTGTGGATATTTCCCGCGTGTTGCCGATTCCGCGAACAGACGGCCTTGCCATCAATGCGCCGTTGCTGGGTGGTGCTTTGACTGTCTGACTGTGTGTATGTATGTCTGGTGGACGAGCGAACTGGCCGTGTGACTGTCGGGGACATACGTATTTATGTACATGTAGGATTAATAGCAGTTTTTGTGCACAGTCTGATTTGTTTCTGTCCACGTTTCAGATTTTCATGCACAAGTCTGCGATGCAGCTGCACGCGCGCGAGGTGCACCGCAGCGAGGTGAAGCCGCACCAGTGCCAGCAGTGTCTCAAGTCGTTCTCCTCCAACCACCAGCTGGTGCAGCACATCCGCGTCCACACCGGAGAGAAGCCCTACAAGTGCTCCTATTGCGACCGGCGCTTCAAGCAGCTCAGCCACGTGCAGCAGCACACCCGGCTGCACACAGGTCAGTCGCCAAACAAAGTAATCACAGAACAGCCCGATCTAAGTGAGGACATTGTCCCAGGAGCAAGACATCGCCCTCGGTTAACCAGAATCCTCACGCTACCATCAAACGCATGCGGGCAAAAACCGGTATTTGGGGGCGATAGCAAGCTTGCGTTATGATTTAAGGGAGACATTGTTTCATCATTGTTTTAATTTATGATCGAAAGTGCAGTTATGGGTACGTGTTTTACGAAATTAGTTACATAAGCCCCGCTTTTTGCCGTTGACTTTTCTGTAACATCTGCCGGTGACTGCCTCAACTTTGCTCTCATGGCTACACGTACTTTAAACACATCTTACTCTCGAGCCTGGTGAGAAACGATGACACGAAAACTCAAGCAACATGTAAAACTCTCATTCAGTTCACCAATTGATGGTGACAGATACAGCCAACATAAATGAAGATTACGTGTTTGGCGCCGGTCCGAACGCGAACCGGGACTGGTCGCGGTGATTAATGAATCCAGCGACAGTGGGCCGTCGGACCGTTAAAGCCGAGATTACCTGAGCTCTCCTTGTACGGTGGCCATTACGGGCAGCGAGGCGCGATGCGGTGGCCGATACTGAGCGCCGCTCGTCGCCCCGGCTGCACCGTTCGCTGACATCACAGGGCGACCATTGTGTGCCGGTCCGGCGGACACTGTCACATACCGTCACCAAAACTGGACTGGCTTTTTTTTTTAGGGCTCACAGAGCTCTGAGCACCCCGTTAGTCTGTGGTTCAGTGAAAATCCGCAGCCGTCTTTGCGCATTGACATGTGTGCGTGAGGTGATTAGAGTCTGTCAATCTACTGCATGCAACAAAGTGGTAGACACGTGATATTCGGCAAGACAAAGGAGTGCGCTGTTGTAGAGCTTACAGTCACGTGGTTTAGTCACTAAGTGAACCAGCTGCCGTGCTATCAATCGTGCGGTAGATGCCAAAAGTCCTTTAGGTTTGTGATGTGTCTGCTACATCTCGCACTTGAAGAACAGGTAGCGACAGTCACGTTTGACTCAGGCAGCAGGTGACTGTCACGCGCTTTCGGCCACTTCTGTTCGTAAATGAACGGCATGGCTAGCTTCTTATTGCATTCAGCTGCTTACCCAATCCATTCCAAGCCCCAAGAATGATGCAGCAAGCACGCTATCTATGTATTGCCGGACACCGCTGGTCAACACAGCCCATCCGTCAGCCTCTCCAAGGCCTAGCTCAGCTTCAGCCGCCTCCCGAAATCAGCCCAATCACCGCCTGATTTCCTGTTTGGTGTCCCATTCCCACAGTCGGTCGTCTCAGCTGTCCAGGACGGCAGCGGTAACGCGGTGGCGATCCATTCTTTCAGATCAGCACCGGTCTCTTCCTCAGTAGCCAGCCGACGCTCCGGTAATCTCATGGGAAACGGTGATTTTTGTGATCGAGCTGACGAGCCTGCAGTGCTGCGAAAAATGGCCGGTATCGCGGCCGCAGATCGGCTGCAGAGGAGACTCTGCAGAAGAAGACAGACAGTGCGGCACTGTCACAGGGCGCAGGGTCACCGGCCGATTTCGACAGGCGCGCGGGGGTGGATACAGCCACGTGGATACAGCCAGGAGCCGCCGACTGTGGTCAGCCGAAGGGGGCCTTCAAAACTGTCGCTGACGAGTTACTGGGATTTCGTGTGTAAATCGTTGCTTTGTGCATGCGTCAAGAACACTTTGCTGCTGACTGGGCAGTTACAGTTCGCACATGCTATACCTTTTCATATTAGAAATGGGTGTACTGTCGACGCCTGACATTGTAGCCCGTGAGTCAATCTGATACCTATCATGCAAAATTGTAAACAATCACCATGCAGGGACATATTTAGAAAATAATTGTTTAAAGCATATCCAGGATTCACTCATTTACTTCCAGACAATGTTGATGCATCAAACGTAGCAAATCTGTCAATCTGTCCGCTAATCCGTCAATCCTTCCGCCGCGGACCAGTTCATTCGCCCGTCTATCCATCTGTCCGCTCGTTGTGCTTGCAGGTAGCGCCGATTCTCCCAAAAATCGATCGTTCGTTACGTTCCCACGCCGATGGGAGCCGATGCCAGTCATTGATAAGGTCGATTTTTCAGCATTGCGACCGAACCACGATCGGTCTCAGATTACGTTCTGATTAGTTCGGCGGCGGTGAGGGGGCGGGCTGCGGTTGGACGATGACGGTCCTGATGCTCCCAGCTGGTCGGTCGTGGCTCCTGTGCCACTGTCGGTGGAATTTCGTTGGGAGGCGTGCTACCGCAGAGTCGTGATCGGTCGTCAGCACCCACCGAGTCATCAGTGGTGTGTCTGTGTGGGTGGTTAACGAGAGGCTACGTCGGCGCGGTGAACCACTGAGCCTCAAAATATATGCGCTTTATACCGGGCATATAGCATAACCCAAATGGGTTGTTAGGCTGACCGCCGAATGGTCCAGGGACCACCGGACCATTGAACTCACTGCACTGGACATTAAAATGATACGAGCGTTATACTGGCCTTCAAGAAGTCTACTCGCCACGATGCCTATCTCCACCTTCTTAGTGGATCTCAGCCCATCAAACCACGGGTGGGGGAGGGACTCATTACCACTTTCACACACACGGCGGTGGGCTCACCGGGCGTGTGGTCGGTAATCGTTGACGGACAGCTCGCGGTGACAGCTGACACCTGATAATGACGGACTGACAACTGATAATGACCGGCTGATGACCGCGGCCCCACCGAACAGCCGGACTCGGACCGACGCGCTGGACAGACTGACTGACCGACCACTGAACGACGAACGAACAGACGACGGACGGACCAACCAGCCGGCGCACACTGGTCGGAAACGCCCTCACGAAAGGCCACGGGCGATTCCAGAGTTTCGGATTATTTTTTATATAGATCGATTTGAAATTGATCAATTTATTATACATAGGCCAAAAAACTAATCCGGGTGACCAAAAATAACTGTAATCAGCCCCCGAAGATGGGGTATCCCAGAACTCGGAAACTGACGCGGAGCAAGAGGTTTCTTGAGCCGGATATTCAGAGTCTTATTGCTGATAGACACCAAATTGAAATCCCACATATTATGCATCAAAATGTTCGTTATGAAGTTGCCGACTGGTCAGTGCAAAATTTTTGGCATACTAAATCCCTAACTAAGATGTACTATAGCCTTTTTATGAAGGCTCTCCTACAGTGATTCTGGAATATAACTGCAAAGTTTAGGTAAGGAAACAACAGGTAGTCCCATCTAGTTCCACTCTGATTTTTTGTGAGATGAAGTAGGAATTAAATTTACACCAGGGCAACATAAAAGCTAACTGCGCATATTTGCGCAAAATTTGCAGGAGCCGCTCTTCCTACCCAACTACCGCCCGCCCCGCCCCAGTTTCGGCTCGGCCGCCGCGCCCGGCTTATACGCTGACCTGTGTGGCCTGCACGCATCCATGCGTAGTTGACTGGTCATTAAAAACAGATGCGCTTGAGTTTATGAATTTTGTGAAAAGCGCGTTTTATGTATGCATTTATGTATGTATTGACATCAAAAGCCTTCCACATATTGCGTGGCGATTACGGCTTGCATTTAGAGAGCCTTGCTATTGACAACCATCACTCGGCTGAAGAAAGTGGAAATTGAAACCTTCGTGAATATAAGACGCTGCAAATATAGGACACCTGTCACTGACGTCGGGTTACCTTGGGCCGTCTTTAGTTACATTAGATCACAATTCCGGTATTTAACCCTGGCCGGACCGATTGGTTTTCTATATTGACCGGGGAGGGTTGGTACAACTCCCTCGCCGTTTCGCCTCTAATTGAGCTAGAGCCTCGCGGAAAAAAAGCTTGTGTGCCGTTATAAGACGCAAAAAACAGGTACTACCCGATTTTAAGGTCTTAGGTCAGCCAGTGACCTCTTAGGTCAGGTAAGTGCCACAAGGCACGGGTTCGGTTTTAGGTTAATTACTTTACCAAAAATGGTCGCACTGCCGCGATTTTGGCATCATCGTGTTTGTCTAGCTCAGGCGCGTTGAATGCTAGGTATACTTGGTGTTCGGGTGAACTCAACTTAAGGTGTTAATCTCGGGTCAAGGTCAGGTCGGAGCCCCTCAGGTCACGAAAATGGTTGAAGGAGGTCATATTGCATATCATTCGATTCGGCAGGTCTTCCTGAGTCCAATGGTGGCTTTCCCGACTCTCTAGCTCCATCTGATCAGGAGTTATTGACGAAAAACTTATTTGGCCTTAGTGACGTCATAAATGACGTCACGCAAAGTCAACAATGCTAAAGTCAAGCACTGGACCTTGCAAGAAGTGCATGAAACCATTCCCGGTGCCCGAATAGCAGCTCCCAATTTCCCTTGTTGACTTAAAGTGGTGCTAGATCCTGTATTATACTCAATTATGACGTCATAACTTAAAGGGACACTCCCACCTTAACATTAGTTTTGAGTTGAGATAGCCAAATTGGTGGCCATGACCTGCAAATACCGGTTTGGGCACTTGCAACATCGACAAATGCTTTAATTCGGAGATATGGAATTTCAAACTTGCAGTTTTCGGATTCTAAGGGGCTAGTGCATTGGTATGCCCCCTTAGAATTTGTGACGTCAGCGGAGATCTAACGATTTTTAAATCTTTTACTAAAACGTTTGGTAGCACGCGGTGGTATATGCTGCTTTGCGCGCAACAAATGCCGCACTTTTAAATAAAGTCGCTAGGAACAGCGGAGATCCCAAAAAATAAACAATTGTAAAAGTCTAATATCTTGAAAACCGGTGAATATTTTTCGATGAAATTTGGTAGATATTCGTTTTCGCTCTTTCTGAACCGAGCGACATCACTTTCGTGCCAATTCATTAACTTTTTTGAAGGTGGGAGGGTCCCTTTAACAGATTCACGTCATATATTTAGTGCTTGACATCCAAATGATAGCTTACATATGACAGAGAAGGTATGCAAAGTTTTATGAAGTTTGCTTCACTAGTTGTGGAATAACAAGCAAACAACTTTTGCGGAAAGGCCGCTGGCCTCTCGCTGGAGCGTTTCCGACCAGTGTGCGGCGGGCCGGCCGATCGACCAGCGGACGGAAGGACGGACGGACAGACGGACAGGCGGAAGGACGGACGGACAGACGGACAGACGGATAGACGGACAGACGGACAGACGGACAGACGGACAGACGGACAGACGGACAGACGGACAGACGGACAGATTGGTGAGTCGGTGGGCCGATGAACAGGCTGATTTATGTACGTACGGACGGACGGAGTCGATGCTAACAAATTCCGTTGTTGCCACGATTGCACCCTTCAGTATCTGCTGGCGCTGAATCGGAACATTTTTTGTTATGATTGAAATAAATATTGGTTATGAACTGCTAAAAAGCTTAGTGCGATGCAATTGGATTAAAATGTTTGACTAGTGACATTGTCATGGATTTTTGATGGGCGAGTTCTTGGGATGGGAACCCGTTTTCTTGCCGTTTCCAGATGTTCCGGCTCTGAATCAACTGCCATAGCATTTCTAGTTCCACTGTCCACTGTCCAGATCCCAAGGATGCGTTGGCGTTTGTTGATGATAGCATGTCTCTGGCTTGTGATGATCTAGTGCTCCGTGGGTTGGGATCATGTAGAACAGCTCACGACGGTCGGTTTGTCTCCTTCCAACAGTCCGAAGTTGATTCACTGCTGGCTATTTCCCACTCGGGATCCAGCTCGAGGATTGCTGAAATTCGTGGTTATGGAATAGAGATGAGCGTGAGAACGCGGCGCGCTAATCTCGGTGCATCAAATGATTCAATAATCCGCGATTCTCTGTGAATGTCTTCACAAGCTAATTGCCACTAGGTATAGATAATAAATGGCCTCGACTGGTCCTTTTCGTTTGCACTGACCTTGCTGATCAATACAAATTTCAAAGATAGCCACCCCAGTAGCTATTATCCTGCCGTCAGATATTTCTCGGCTCTCGAAAGCCCTGTGGCTCCCCACATGGACTGACTGGACCGCCCGTGGGATGACTGACTCAGTATCCCCAGTCCCACACCGCCTCCCCCGTCCTACAGCACCTGGGCCTTCTAAAGGAAGGTCATTACGAATCTGTGGTCTGCCATGTGTCAATCACGGGCAGCCATAAAACACTACCGATGAGGCGGCACCACCCGACAATCCCTGCTGATCTCCACCCCACCGTAATCCTCATCCCGGGAAACGCGGCACTCGTCGATGAAGAGAGCGCCCGGTGTCGATGTGTCGGTGGTAAATCTTCGAGAGCGGCGGGGGAGATGTCGGGACGTCAGTCTGCTGTCGCTGCTTCAGCTGCACCTGCGCTTCACCTGAGACGAGGTCTCGGGATAGACCGGTGCAACGGTGCACGCTGTGCACTGTGCAGACAATGCAGTGGCGGGACCGGTCCTGTTCCCAAGGGGACGTGGATTGTCTGTGGTGAATGCTCGTCAGGGTGTCTAACGATGAACGTATGACATCAGACATGTCAGTCGAAGCCCATTCCTCGATGATACGGACGGTAGCGCTCGTCACAAAGGGACGACCACCCTGTAGGTAACCAGCTTACATAAGGGCGGTTGGCAGTGGTTATTTACCATCCAACCTGGAAGGCGAGTGACATTACATTACCCTAGGTCAAGCTTATTGCGTAGATATCTATTTATGCAAACTGTGGTCAGCATATGTATACCGAGTCTGGCAAATACCTTGTTCGAGCAGAGTCACGTAGTTTGATACAACCTCCCTCGCCATCCAATTTTATCGGCAGCTCGGTGTTTTGTCTCTGGCCGGGCAGCAGTGCCGCTCGGGCCGGCCGTGACGGCGACCGTGACGGTGTCCGTGACGCGGTGTCCGGCCGCCGCCATTGGTCGTCACGTTGTTACGCTGCGGGCGGCGCCACACCGGCGGGGTCACCGTCCTCACCGCCCCGCCCCGCCCCACACGGCGCCTCCATTTTCTGCGGGTCTCGGTCACACCATTGAAGCTCAAGTTGTGACCATTACATGCCCATTGCGGCGCTGCTGCCTCCATGTTGTTCACAGGCTTGGTAATCGGACACGACATGCGGGACACAGCCCGGGCGTGTGTTGGATTTATGAATGACGGACGTTTCAGGGACTATGGAGGTGGTTGTTGGGAGGAAAACTGAGAAGGGTCGAAGCCACAGTTCAAGTGGCTGTCGGGCAGCAGAGAGCAGTTTTTGAATCCGTCCGTCCGAAAAAAAAAAAACAGTGAAATCAGGGACACTGATCAGTGTACTTTACACAGACCGAACACAGGACAGATATGCGTTGTCTGCCGTTTATTTTAGGCACGAATTTGTCTCACAGCGTTCGTGGCAATTTTGTTATTAATTAATAGGCAATGAAACCTTGCATTTGATTTATTTATTATTGCGTATAGTTTCCACTTAACTCGTGCCATTTACATGTAGGACTATGAGGTCTGGTTATATTGCTCTGGGCATACATTTCGAGACTGTAAAGGCGCATTATTTATCAACAAGATCAGTAAAAATCAAAGCACTCCACCGTGATTCCTTACGAGTTTATCGGAATTTTAGACATCGATAAATGTATCCAGCTTCACCCACCCAGTCCTCGTCACTGGTAAAGCTCGTTCGCTGAAACTGTCTAGCCGTTTGACCTTCGCGGTCTGATACTTAGCTTGTGGACGTCTGCCCCCTGATCACACTACACTTGATCATTCGCGTTTGTTGTGATGATGAAACTGATCCGTAAGTCGGTCCCATGCACGCGAATACCGCAGCTGTGGTAAGCTGACGTAAATCGGGAAAAAGTCCAGGATTTGGCGCGGCTCAGACGTGCGCTGCTGCCGGCTTAGACTGTGTGCCGTTCTGGTGATTGCTGACCTCATGGACAGTAACACCCGATTGTGCCGCGCTCGACTGAGGATCGCTCAGCCGCTGAGGGTGTTCTGAGACAGCTGCTGCTCGCTAGGAGGTTCACACCGGTGTTTGAACATGATGCAACAACATACACCTCCTTACAAGTGGTAAGGTCATGTTCAACTCATGTCTGACGCTGTTGGACACACGAAATAGACGTACACTAACACGATGTTTGGAATGCAGCACAGGAAGATCGTTTTCTGATCATCCTCCAGAAGCCATGTGGCCCATTGACAGATTGGAGACCATTGCAATTGGGCCATCATTAGACCAATCGGCCGAGCTACCGATTTGTCCAGACACCCTGACCTGACCTGACCTCCACCTGCAGGTGAGCGGCCGTACAAGTGCCACTATCCGGAGTGCGGTCGGGCCTTCATCCAGCTGTCGAACCTGCAACAGCACCTGCGGAACCACGACTCCCAAATCGAGCGCATGAAGAACCGGCCGTTCCACTGCCAGATCTGTGGCAAAGGCTTCGCCACCGAGAGCAGCCTGCGCACGCACACCACAAAGGTCAGTCAAAGGTCTCACAATATCACATCACAAAGGTCAGTCAAAGGTCACAATATCACACCACAAAGGTCAGTGACAGGTCATTGTGACCTGTGCAGTGTGCACACCCCTACTACAAAGGTCAGTGACAGGTCACAACTCACAAGTCATCAAAAGGAGGCTCCCTACACCACGGAAGTCAGTCACAGGTCACATCGACATGCACCAAACTACCTAGCTAGGTAAAATCGAAAAACATGTTTCAGAATAAGCTAATCTAACGGTGGTAAACTTGTTTGCAATAGCCCAATACATAATCCTACATGTGCTGGCTAAATTTTGCACGCAAATTGTTACATTTGAGACTTGGACTTGGTATACGGTGCAAAATAATCCAAGCATTGGTGCAAGAGGATTTTGGTGCAAGAGGCCTATGCTCTACAAAGTTTAGTCATTGCGACAGTGGCACTTGGTGACAAGTAAAAAAAAAATCAAATCAAAACTTTGGCTCCTTTACCACGCATTAGCTGTTTTTTTCATTTTTATTGGCTACGATGAACGAATAAATCTCTCATCAAATTTTATTATTTTTGTTAAGGTAGACTATTCCAGTCCGATAAGCTCATATCAGCACCACCTGTGATGGCAGGGTGAGTAGAGATGACGCGCCGTGGCGGCTGAGCCTTTAATCAGCCACGTAAACGGTCATCTCAAGTCGTGCGTTGTTTTGAAGGATCGGCCACCGGGAGACCTTAGCGGTTACCAGCGAGGGTGATTGTTTATGCCCGAAATGATTTTGTCTGATGTAACAACAAACTGATATCGGACCAGCATTCGAACACTGAACACCATCGCAGACCAGCCGGCAACCCCGGCTGCCGAGCCGACGACTGTCGTGTTCCGCGGCGGCACACTCCGCCGTGTTTTACTCGTGCACTGCAGCGTGTGGACGAACCGTCTATTTAGTTACCAGTATAACGCCTTTTGGGGCGACTAACGGAGCGAGCGAGAGGGTGGGCCTTGCACGTGCGAAATTTCAAGGGGGTACCTCCAACTGACTTGTGCACGGCACTCTACTAACCGGTTTCTAGCGATGTGCCAAATTTGAGCACAATCGGCCTAGCCGTTCTCGAGATCTGAAAGCGGCACCCTGCACGTGCGCACGTGCAAAATGGGTCCCAACTGACTTGTGCACGGCACCCTACTAACTGGTCCCTAACCGTGTACCAAATTTGAGCGCCATCGGTCCAGCCGTTCTCGAGATCTGGAAACGACCCCTGCACGTGCGCACGTGCAGCAGCACCCCAACTCTGGCACATGGATATGCAGTGCCTAGTGGGTGCCTACCTACATGCCAACTTTCAGCGCAATCGGCCAAGTAGTTACCGAGATATTGCAACAATTACAAAACTGACACCTCTTCGTTTTGCACGTGGCACGTGCATAAGGGGTCACCCACATGCATCGGGAATAGTCCAATACTTGGTAGAAGGAATGAAGCTACCCTACAAAAATTACCGCGTGTAAATCGGTCAAGTGGTTGCTGAGATATAAGCCTCGCAAAAGCGTCCGCACGGCCGGCCGGCCGGCCGGCCGCTCATACTCAGAAATTTCCGTTAATCTAAGGAAAGACTACGCTCGCTTCGCTCGCTCCGTAACCAGACCAGCCGCCAGGCGGCTCTGCTGGTTGGGACGGCGCCGAGGGCGGTCGGCCCGGTCCAATTGCAATGCGAGCCACGAGCTGACAGCCTGACCCCCACCACCGTGCTTCGTGCTGGGGAGGGGGGGTTGGTTGGTTGGTCAGGAGAGCCTCCGGTACATTCTACATGTCGTCACTGCTGAATAGGACTGAGAGATACCTGGGCTACCTGCTCCTAGACCCTACCGTTGAAACTCGATCCCTTGCACTAATAATTGACGTAAACTGGGGTGGATGGTGCCCAGTAGGCAGTAACACCCTATCCTATCTCTTCCTGAAGCCGCGATTCAGACACTCTCCGGGACAAACTCTTACTTCCACTGGGGGCGTATCGATGGTCATTTGTATACGGTAGCCACATATTACAGAGGTTCCTCTAGCCACCCATGGCTCCTGGCGCCATGACCTTCTTTAGCCGACACCGAGTACGGAAAAAACAGCACTATTCCTTTAGCACACAGGTCACAGCACGCACTACCGTCCAGCTCTGGGGACTGGATTTCCGCGCCCAGCCCTATCTCATCTTTCCCCAGAGTTGTGACCTATCCTTCTCTTCAGCATTTCCTCAATCTCATCTTGAACTGGCAACATGAAGCGGTTTAACTGAGCTCAGAAGTTGTTTCGGCTGCTTTGTTTATCCGCACATCTGTGTTGAAGGTAGGGGAAGGCGGGGGAAGCCCGGGCGCGGGGGAAGCCCGGCCACCCCGTTTCCGGCTAAATTATTCACAATAAAATGCTCAACTGTTTGTCCTTTCAGCGTGGCAGCTAAGGTAACGCCAGCAAAAAAGTTAAGGCTGACAAAAATTGCATATTGTTAAAGTTATAGCGTAAAAATGATATTTTAAGGGTTTTTAGCTAAAAAGTGAGATATCTTGCACTGTTAATGTTATACCATACAGTACTAATATTTATACGAATGTTATGTAAGGACCGTTTAAGTGTTTGTAGTAAGGGGTGACGAGGCAGGCTGGCTTAAGTATGACATTTTTTCGAATATCGCTGTTCTAAAATAAAAATTAGCACATTGGGGTAACCCCGGGCGAGTGGCCAAGCTTACCCCCAACCGAGAGCAATGCCACTAAACCACTGTTTTCCATGAGATAATAGGTACTGAGCAGGTTTGGTTTACACCTAGATCAAAGATAAATTTCGAAAATAAACATGTTATCATAGACAAAGCCAGTCATGTCACTTAAGGTCAACTAGGGTCAAACTACGTTTTTGCAGATAACGCGACAGACAATGAAGCTAGAGCTTCAAAAATAGTGTCGTTGTGTTCTTCTTCATCAGCCGAGTCGAATGATATGCAATATGATGCATTAAAGTAAAAAGAAAAATAAATTTTAAGGAATTTTGAAATACACATTTTTTGTCAATTTTGCATCACGATTTTCATCGACCTGTACTGCATATGTAGTAGACGCCAGCTAAAATACCAGTAGTGACATAAACTCTAAGATGTCCAGAGCTAATCAGTACCTTAATATTTCACTTTCCGTTAATATTTGGAAAACACATAATGGTTTCATCAACTCTTTGTAAAGCGCTGGGGAGGTGGCCGGCGTTACCCCTATGCCGGGCTTACCCCAGAAAAATCAACACTTTTTTTAAAACTCGATTTTCTCAACCTTATACTTATTCCACGAAACCGAATTTTTGGGAAAACACGGCCAATGAACTTAGCTAGCTAGCAGGATATCAGCATTTTATACAGCACGTATGGTATGTAATAAAAATGAAAAAGAGCTTACTATGCCGGGCTTCCCCCGGCTTCCCCTATATTGTGCTAAGCACTTGTGTGTCCACAAAACGAACATGATTACATAATTACGTTATCATGCATTTTGCAAGTAATAGGCAACCGTTATATTCCAACGATTCACTTGTGATAATATCAAGCGTTCATTTTTTGTCTGCTTCGATGTTATCTGACTGTCTTAGATCCGCCTAGAAAACGATATATGTTTAAAAACGCATTCCAAAAGAGGTATATGATATCATTAGCGTTTGCAGAACTTAGCTGTTGATATCGGGCGGAGCAGCCCCTCACAGGGCGGTGCACCTGCGCCAATGTGCTCACCTGTTCTCCTCGCTTTGGAGAGGAGCAGGCGGATCTTTTTTAGGACTTGGATGCGAGTAGTTATGTGAGGACCATTCGGTTGTCGCCCACCCACCAGTCGATTTGTCGAGCGTATTTAGCGCAAGCTGGGAGATATTCATAATACTGTGTGAAAAAGGCAAGTTTTCTCACGAGCCATAAACAAAAACCCGAGAGCAGCGGTCCGAGCCGCCTCCTCTGGATTCTGGAAGACGACGCCTGTTCTTCAGCTAATGTTTTTCTACCTCTGCGTTGTTTGCTCTTGGGGTTTTTATTGGAAACCACGGCTTTTCTCCGCTTATGCCATTAGTAACCGGAGAGTTTCTCAAAGCAGCCGGTGGCGTCACGGTGTGTTTCCCTGTGAGAGCGAGATGTGAATGGGGTGGGCAGGGTTGTCCACGAACATCGACTCTGGTGGTGCGGTGCTCTAGCGAAACGTGAGGGTTAGGCTGCCGACAGTCAGAGCGCAACATGCATGACATGGATATTATAAACGGCTGGACCTGCGGCAGCAGCACTATTTTTTGAAAACTTAATTTGTATTACTTGAGCAAGAACCGTGGAAGTAGTTATATGGGTATTTTAAACTGCTTGCGCCTTGCACTATTGCATAATACAAAAACCGTTATCTGATCCGGCCTTTTGCCCTACACCTCACGGTTCACGGTTGGAGTAAAAAGCTGGCGACACTGTCATGTGCCAGCCAGCTGCACCTGCTGCTTGTTCACATGATACATCTGGTGTCAGTGTCGTTCTACGCCCCGCGGGCCCTCTGGTTCGATACGTATGAATGGCTGTTCTCATAGGCGGACCGTATCAGGCCATCAACTCGCCATGCTAACAGCGCAGGATGCCTCCGTACGATGGAACCCAGATAGAGTTCCAGTTATTTAAAAACGCACTTTCACCAGCATTGTTGCAGCGGCAAACCGAACGAAAAGGGACGACCAAATGCAAACAGAGAATGAAAAACGGCTGCAATGGTGGCGGCGAGTCAGTGGGACGGATTGAGCCGATAACGGGTGTTAGTTTAGTTGGAGGCCTTCTGAGTTCATAACAGTCCTTGCGGACGGATGAAATCATAATGTCAATACGTATGCTTAGTTTCATGTTGTGCGCCATGGCCTTTGCACATACTGCTCAACAAATCTCACATCACAACTTTGTGGCGTAAAATGTGGCGTTAGTGACGATCTTATACAAATAAACTGAACACCGTGAGGTGACCTGATATATTTTACACACATTTATAACGGGAACGTCATCAGAGCTTAAGTATTTCGGATACTATTTTCTGCAATGCCTGTCGACCCGATCTAGCAGTGCTCTGTATCTAACCTGACCGGTGACCTCTGCCTGCAGCATGCTGCGCTGATCGGTGGCCCAAACGCCGTCAACTGTCCAATCTGCCACAAAATGTATCTGGGCGGTGCGGCGCTGATGGAGCACATGAAGCACGTGCACAAGGACCCCAACGCCTCGGGCGTGGCCGGTGAGAATCGATCCGTCCCCGCAGCGATTCGCTCTGTCTCTTCGCGGCTAGTGACACCGTGCAAAGTCCTGGTGTGTAGAATTGTTCTCTAAATATTAATTGACATCTTTGGCCCTCATTTTGTCAATGCCTTCGCTTTTTGCATCACTGCTCCTGTCGACGCTTTTCTGTTCGAACTTACATGTCTACTATTTTCTAGGAGCAGTCATGAGCTGACAAACTTGTATTTGCTGTTGTTTTTTCATCAATGACTTTTGGGTTCTTCTTTCTGACCCGCCTTCGTCAAAAGATAACTATCTAATAATGAAATTGGCATTTGAAATTAATTGACTTTTTTTCATTAAATTATTCGGTAGGAATGCCAGACACCTGGACATTCAGAACATAAGGATAAAGACGATGGTTCTTTACCGATCATGAGTGCTATCTTTAGTGCCGTCATTGCTTACCTTTCATCAGTTCGTGAAAGGGGCTCACGACTGCTATGATTATCTTCAAATCATCCGTGCGGTTCTCCCACGGCCCGATAATTTCTGCATATGCTCGCATCATTGGCCACATCATGGCCGTAGCGGCTAGAATGGCTGGCGAAGTCGTGCCACCAGGAATTTAATCAGTTACAGATAAAACTGAAAAGTGGCAGAACGCGCAGCGGTGAATCAGAATAATGCTTGGACTGAAGTAAGAAATCGCTGTTTTCGAGCCGATCGTTCACGTCTGCATTTAATTATTCAAGCATTTAGTGTAAAGATTGCAGTCGTCTTATAATCGTAATTTGCCTCTATAAATCAAACTGACCCGTGCTCTGTCGTCGCAGCTAAGCGTCGGACGCCGAACCACCCGTGTCCAGTGTGCGGCAAGCAGTACGTCAACGAGGGCTCCCTGCGGAAGCACATGGCCACCCACCCGGAGGCTGCCGGGCTGGCGGCGCCCCTGAGGATGTGGCCCTGCTCCGTCTGCCAGGCCGTCTTCACCCACGAGTCCGGTAAGAACGGGGCGGTAACGTAACGTGACGTGACGTGACGTGGCGGTGACGTGCTAGTTCCAGCAAATTGCCAACACAGGGGTGACCGGTGACGGTTCTGATTCGCTGTTGGCTCATGACGAGCTTCGTTCTAATAATCGGTGATACTGTATGCAAGAGCTTAGAACATGCTTTGGATAATTTTACGCATATTTTGCTGGGAGATCCTGCCCTAGAATCCTGGAAGTAGTGAAATGGAATGTAGTTATCCCATTTCTTTTAATAATAAATACGATTTGCGAGAACGTTCAAGCGTTGTCACCGGTAACAGCATGAACAAGATAAATGATTCTGCATTTTACAAGAACGACCCTAGCAATTTCCGTCCAAGCCGCGGCCTGTTCCCAGGAAATGAATTATTAATACAACTGAGGAATTCGCCTGTGGAAATTCGGTACTGTGGATGTAGTCATTGGGGCCTCTAGATAAATCTATTGAATGAAGTTAACGAGGAAGTTTTTCTCTAAAAGGCATGGTGTTGAGGCATGACTCATTATATATTCAGATGTTTAGGATATAGATCGAGCTCGTATGTAACGCACGAATAACATTATTTCGAAAGCAGCCCATAGGTGCACAAACATCGTTCGCCGTCAACCACAGATGTGTCGCACTCCTCTCAGACCACCCATGCAGTGATTCCCCCTTCCTCACGAACCCCCCCCCCCCCGTTTTTTCACAGCGTTCCTGACGCACATGGACCACATGCGGATGGAGCCCAAGCACCAGTTCGCCGCTCAGTACGTCCTCTCTCGGGCCGCTGCCGAGCGGCGAGAACGCGAAACTCTGTTTGCCGCCGCCGCCGCCGCTGCGGCCACCTCCTCCATGGGCATGAGCGGGCACCACATGTTCCCGGCCATGTCCATGGCCAGCATGAACCCGATGAGCTCGTCTCTGATGGCGGCCGTCTCGGCAGCCTCACCCTCTGCCCACTCGGACTCGTCCCGTATCTCCACGCCGGCTGAGCCCAAGCTGGAGCCGCGGCTGGCCGGTGGGAGCTCCGAGATAGACAGGTCGGACTCGATGGCCGTCAGCTCGCGACTGGTAATGCTCAACCGGCTGACGGCGCAGCATCCGGTGGCCATGACCGGGTCACTGACACTGCAGCCGTCTGCTCTTCAGCATCAGCAACATCAGCAGCAGCAGGCGCAGCTGCAGCAGCACCAGCTACAGACGCAGCTCCATCAGCAGCAGCACCAGCAGCAACAGCAGCAACAACAGCAGCACCAACAACAGCAACAGCAGCAACAACAGCACCAACAGCAGCAACAGCACCAACAGCAGCAACAGCAGCAACAACACCAACAGCAACAGCAACAGCAGCAGCAGCAGCAGCACCTCACCCAGCCCGATCAGCCTCAACAACAGCGGCCCGGCGACAGTATGCGCGCCATGATTCAGCAGACCCAGGCCGAGCTGGTGAGGTCGACGCTGAACTCCCAGGCGGAGGGCGCCCGCTCTCTGGATGTGCTCCGCTCGCTGCACGCGCCAGCGAGTGACGCAATGGACGGCGCCATGCGACACCCGGAGCTGCGCATGTTTCCGTCAGAGCTGACCATCCGCTCGCCGCACGAGCTTTACGGCCAGCCGGCGGCGCCGACGGCGGCGGAGGATCCGTTCCGGATGTCGGAGTCCCTGCGGCCGCCGCAAGACCCGCGAGCAGGTCTGGGTGGCTACCTGACCTCCCCACAACAGAACTGAGACAGAGCTGGGCTCCCGTCGAAGTAGTATTGTTCTCAATGCTTCTTTGTCACGCATCCAAAGTCAAGCATCCCAGCAATAAGATCGATATTGTTGCCGCGCTGGCTTCACATCAGGCGTCCGTGGCGACTTAGCTAGAAGAGCTCGCAGCTGATATTGCTGAGTCTATGGTGAACGTCTTGGACGAGGCGTCAGTTAAACGTTCAGTAGCGTCACTCTGATGAACCCAACCAAGGCCAACCACTCGCACTGCCGGACGAAAGGCTCCGGCGATAAACCAAGCTCGAGTTGTCGGCCCTAGGTCGCATGCGATAAAAACTCACGCAATAGCTACCGCCTTCACATGTTCATTACAAAAATCACGAAACATAGTTTGACCAGTGATTTATTTCGTGCATTATGTATTGTGTATGTACCGACGTGTGCAGCAATGTTTTGTACTTTTAATTTATTGCCAGGTGAGGACATTGCATGCATTTTTTGTCAGGCGATATAGCTGAAGTAGCAGGGATAATTTGATTACTGTGCCGCTCATTCACATGTAGGTAGGCACTTAGAAGCACCAATATATTGTAGGCAGACGATGTCGTGAAGAGCGGACTGTGATTTTGTTCTGAGACGGATGTGGCTGCAAAGGAGCTGCATAAGGGTGCAGTAAAGTGGAAGTAAGGTGATAAGCTACTGGATATTCGTCCACAGACATGCGAACTGCAAAGCTCGCATAGGCTTTTCAAGGTTGTGTCTCCTCCAATGAGAGATCAACGGTCGCGTGATGTGGTCATATAATGAATCGATGACTGTTGCGGCTTTGTGATGCGTTATATCATCAGATTGCTCAGAGGGCTTAGTGTGAACCGTTTGACGGGCATGAGTGGACTTGGTATCAGGTATGGAATATGGATAAACTTCAGCTGACGTGAAACGTTTACGACATCCGGTTCTGTCAACTGAGAACAGCCCGGAACCAGGCCAGCTGGTTGGTTATTCTCCTCTCAGACGTTGAAACTGGTCCGAACTCCATCTATATCTAATTTTACTTAAAAATTAGGTATCAGGAAGTCTGGCATATGCGGGGAATGCTTTGTTCCATCCGCTTTACATTAACCAATCATCAACATTTCAAACCAATAAGTTATGGCGAATGAGAGGGGCATAGTGTTGGTTAGCCATACCCCTATGAATTGTATTCCAGTTGGGTTTACGTGTGGGCATTAACAGCCTATCGATCCATTGCTATTGGTTACGATCCCAAGATTCCCGTCAGATTAGAAGTACGGCGCACCGTCTTGCTTGAGTTACGATCAAATGCATTCGACGATCACTTATTTATGAACGTGCGTGATTGAACGACGCGGATGCCTATGAAGAAAAACTTTTTTTTTGTCTGTCGTTTTCATCTGCCCATCTTCTATCACGATTGTGATGCTTGAGAGGGAGATAAGCTTTGTATTTGCGATAGACTGGTCCCAAACCGAAGCGCCTTAGATTGTGTTGTGTATAGATGCGTCGCTTATGAGTCCGAAAATACACTCCATTGTAGATTGATGATCGGTTTTGCAAGAAGTGAAATGATAGATTTTGAAGTTTGAAGTAACAGACTCTGTCTTACCGGTCTTGGTCCTCGATCATCGGAGACATGTTTACTGATGGGCTTTATTGGTTCGTGATACATATCAGTGCTGCACGACGCCATCGCCTCTAGCTTGAGCTTGCATGATCTTCCAAAGACATCACTGCGGGTCGGCAGCTGGGCTGAAGTCAGGTCACAGGGTTTTACGACCACTTGCCGGTGCGGCTCGCCGAACATTAGGTGCATCCCCTGCATGACACTAAACGAAATAAGCCTGTCATAAAAGATTCCTTGTGTAATCGTTGCTTACATTGCTGGGGCATTACCGTTTCACCCAGGCCAGATTGTTTGCTTTTGGTTAGAAAAGGCCTTATTTTAGACATTGTTTAGCTAAGGAAAATGGCATACTGATGCTTGAAATTTCTTTCAGACGAACAGATTAATGGTTAATGTATCTTTTTGGCAAGGAAGACATGATGATACCTAAAACGTGTTAACCCGGCCGGGCCCGGGGGGTAGTCCCAACCACCGCAGCCCGGGGGGGGGGCGTTTTTCGCCCCCCTGTCTAACTCCGTAAATAAGGGAGCTACGGAAACAAAAGTGATACCAAACGAAAGGTCCTTACGAGACGATTCGAAACCACCTAAACTTTTTGACCTTAGGTCAATTTTCAAGGTCAGAGGTCAAGGTCAAAGACAAAAACCGGCATATGTGTAGTGATCCCAAAGCAAGCCTTCTAGAGGACGGCAGGTTGCATCAAACCGGCAAAATTGGGTGTCAAACGAAAGAAGAGAATCTGAGGATTCCGAAAATGTGCTCAAAATCAAAGGTCAAGGTCAAGGTCACGCTCAAAATTGACCTCAAATTTGGCAATTTTTCGCATATCTTGCGTGCTAACTTCCAAGATGTTTTGAAATGTTTTGAGGCTTATCAGTTCCCTATTTGTGGTTCATCTTACGATACAAGGCTGCTCAAAGGTCAAGGTCACAGAAGAGTATCCCTGCTAGAGGCTATTTCACTGATTCAAGTTAGTAATAATAAATAAGACAAATTTGTCATCCGGAAGCTCTAAATGAAGGCTTAGAGGAAAATAGATGACAGATTCGTGATCAACGGGTACAAATCCATCATATACGACCTTTCATGTGTCAAGGTCAACCAGAGGTCATTCGAGGTCACATGAGGTCAACATAAAACTTGACCTTTTCCAAACAAAATACATTTCATTCGACGCGGCTTGACGAGGCGAATGCGATGGTACCACTGCCGTAGCTCTAGGATCATTTTTGTCGAAGTTATTTGCGAAAAACTAAAACCACATTTCGGGGTCGTTGACCTGACCTCTGACCTCAGGTCACCAAAACTATTTTTCTATTTTTCTCTAGGTCAAATGATACACAACCGTGTCCGCAATTTGTCTTTATCTCTAAAACTCTATTTTAGCAGCTATTTGAAGTTTGCGTCTATGACGCCGAAGTTTGCCGTGCAGGGGTCTAGAAAAATGGACCTTGTGACGTCATCAAGGGGGCTAGGTCCAAATTTTTTGCTTCAGAAGATGTCAAATTGATGGGAGAAAAGGTACTGAAAGTTTTGCTTTCCTATCCCTAAGCGTTCGGGAGCTATCGCAAATATTCGCCGGGGGGGGGGGGGGGGCGAAAAACGCCCCCCCCCCGGCCCGCGAGGGTTAATGATATCACAATGACCTATCAAAGATTCGAAGTTTGGGGAGTAGTGCTGCCACCTACAGGCAGACATGAATCACTATTAGTTCGATACTCGCATCAGAGGCAAATTCACCCGAAGGGTGCGGATATTATTGAATGCTGTCGCCAAACCATGATTGAGTGATATTGCTGGTTTTAGCGGCATTGTGACGCAAACAGACCATGTTTCACGCTCATATAAACTTTTCAGCCTAAACACAACGCAGCTTTCGATTATGCAGTGAGACGTCGATATTTTCACTTTATCCAAAAACTTCAAGGACGTTAATCAGGGGTCAAACTTTTTACGAATTTTTCATTTTTCTCGACGGATTCGGAATCAGCATGAAAAAATGCATCAGAATCGAGGCTTGGAGCGGTGATTCCGCGTACTTTGCCAAAAAATGGCCACCGCCCACCCTACTCTTCATGAATGCTAAAAAGCGAGCGGAAACAAAGCGGAAACAGGATAGTAGGTTCGCATGGTGTGACTAGCGTAGGAAAACTCGCCCAATAGATGGCAGTAGTAAAACGCCTGCAGGTAGTCTGTACCGCAGTGCACCACTGCCACTTTGACAAATCGTCATAATATCACTCATGTTAAAATACTTTTATCTAAAGATACATTGGAAAAATGCAATTGGAACTCAAAAATTTGGTGGTAAGGAGTTTAGGTCAGTATCTTGAAAAGAAACTTTAAGTGTTTTGCGCTAAATTGCTCTACTTTATTTTAGCGACGGCATTTTTTGCTTCTCATCTGCGATTGCGCCAGTTTTCGTCGCGGAGTGATGTTTACGTTCGTTACGTTCAGTCAGTTTCCGCCCCGCAACTGCTCCACACCCAGCTCGTTTCCTGCTCCCGGGGCCGGTTTGATTTCTGGTTAGATTCCTGTGCTGATAGGTTACGCCATGTCTGACCGATTTTACCGGCTACGCCCCCGCGTTCCCTAACCATTCTGCGCACCATGGCCTTGGGACTGTGACCTCTTACTTCTCAGCAGCGGTGGCAGTGGGGTGCGGGGAAGTTGCTCGAACAGGAAAAGGACGCTGAAGCTGGGGACAAACGACTGAAGTTGAACTGCTGCTGGATATAAGTGCATTGAATTTGTTACCTGCTTGGTTGTTAATTAGAGGTAGGTATTTCAAATTGTGTTGGTCAATTACTGGCAGGCCAGCCCACGCCCAATCCTGGGCCCAATCTTACCAAATTCCGTGAATGCGCATTCATGGCATTTGGGCGGCGTTCGATGTCTCCTGGACGGCAAAGATTCTTTGCTGTCCGGCCAATCTCGTCCAAGGTCAGCGGGGGCTCGGCTGCGGTTATGAAACGTGATTGGCCGGACGGCGTAGAATCTTCGCCGTCCGAGAGACATCGAACGCGGGGTTGGTATTTGGTAACATTCAAAACTATTCCACATTCACTTATTCTTTCGTTTAGGCAACATTCATAATCATTCGCACTATCAAAATCATTGGACAACATTAGGCTGGATGTAATGAAAAAGGATATCTTTGATATCAGTGCCGTGAACTGCAGCCAGTGCTAGGTACCAAATCCTATTCACGGCATTGGTAAGATTGGGCCCTGATCAATGTTGATGCTCATTCATCATATTTTCAGAAGCCTGTAATGAGTGTGACAGTAAATTCATTCTTACAATATCAATTCGTATTCATGTGGTTTTGAGCCTCAATGACCTTGACCATTTCAACGGTGCATTACATGAAGAAATTTATATTGGCAGGGAATGGTGCTTAAGTTGCAAGGTGCATGTAAAGGAGTTCTGGCATCATTACCTACCATGCGTGTAGAACTTGTGAAATAATCATAGTTAATCATCACAAACACTTACCTTGTGGCAAAATCGATGAAAATGATAATATTTAAGCTAACATTGTATCATTGCTTTAGCTCAATGCCAATGGGATGGGCTGTGGTATTAACTGGGTAATTTGCCAGCTGGCGCCGTATGATGGTGCTAGCAGAGCTGGTTATATATCAATGCTAGATATACAAGACTAAATATCTATGCATTGATTTGTTTATTAGTGCATTTTTACATGTTTATGTTACTACCATGCTTAAATCCAATTGTCAATGGCTATCGTACGTTGCCAGATGGCCAGCCAGATGATGCAATCCAGATATTACTAAGGCCCAATGGTAGTTTGTTTTAAAATTACTGCACCACAATTGTATTGAAACAAGTTTTCAAGAACAGAAATAAATATTACTTCCACCATAATGCAAGTAACATTATAGGCTCAAACAAACCTTGTAAAATCTTGCAAGTTTTCATGAATTCTGCTCTCTTAAAAACCTCTCATTCTATACAGCCCTAAAAGATACATGGGTTTCCACTTTCCAAGCAGTGCCACTGATGAAACCTCCATTGAAGTCCAGAAGCTTACCTAGTTCCTGATGCTTGATCATGCCAACTGTTCATACATATCTCTTCTTAGTTGGATGGCTTAGACCTCAGTCACATGCTGGGCTGGATGAATATCAATCCTATTTAGTTTTTGGGACCTCCTTCCAGGATAAAAAAGCTGTTCTGTGCTGGTCAAGCACTGCTAGAGATTTTTGGAGCTGCTAGCTTTTATCCCGGCAGTTGCTGGGGTATTTCGCCACCCACCGTTTGCTGGGGGGGGGGGGGGGGGGGGGCGTTAACCCTCGCATGTGTGCGGCGTTTGCCAGCTTCTAATGTGTAGGGGGGGGGGGTCGGTTGGACCCCCCCCCCTTGCCGTTTGGCCCCTGATCGAGCTAGAGCTTCGCGGAAAAAACGAGCGTGTTGCCCGTGACGAGAGGAAGCCGGTGATACCCAATTTTAAGGTCCTAGGTCATTGGTTGACCTTCCAGGTCAGGTCAATGACCCAAAGTCGGGAAAATCGGGACCTGTTAGAAAGTCGTAAAGTGTGGCTGCTAAGGGGTTTTTCGGGGTGCTGATCACGAATATCGTGTTAGTTTTGAT